TTACATTTTTGTTTTTATTTTTTTATTATTTTTCTAATGCAAACATGTTTTTACTCAACAAGAAAGCAGAACAACCACTTCAAGTTCCCAAATCAAAACAATTCATTCATCTCAAACATTGAAAAAATTAAAATTAAAAAAGATTTTGATAAAAAAACGAAAACAAAAAGTATTTATTTCTTTAAAATACAAATTGTTTAAAAAAAAAAAAAAAACTGCGAAGCTTACGTCAAGCGTGAAACAAATAGTTGAAGATAGGAGGCATCTGAAGCTTACGTCAACTGTGGATTATACCCTGTCTGTCTCTCTGTCACAGTCATTAATTACTGTTAATTATTATTATTTTGTTCTGTTTTTGTTTTGGGGTTCAAACCATACACACTCATATCCTGCACCTGCTGCAGCAGATCAGATCTTTTGCTTAACGGCAGTGATGATATCTCCATTTACCGATAAACTGAAAAGCCGGTCACATTCTTAACTCCGTTTCCCTCTTTACTTTGCTTTGCGGTTACCGCAATCATTATTAGTAGCTGAGCTGTATTTGTGGATTTGTAAGCTTCATTCATCAAATCACTCACTTATTACTCTTATTTAAAACCTTGGGATTTGTTACTGACACTGCATAATTCATCATTTTCATTTTCTGCAATAACACAAATAAATCATTTTAAATCACATTCTCCAACTTTCAGAACTTTGGTTAACTTGGATGTTGAAAATTTTAAGACCAATAAGAACCAACTAAATCCAATTAAGATTAAGTTAAGGTCGTTTGGTTTAAACAAAAAATAATGTATTTTCAATTTTTTTATCACCATTTATTGTTTATCCTCTATAATTTTTATTTCATATTAATTTAGCAAACATATTTTTATTCTTTCAATAAGCAAACATTTCTTTTATTTCATATTATTTTTTCATGCTAGCATCACTTACGTATTTCATTCATTTTCAATCTAAATAATACGATTACCAAATTACAAAAAAGTGATGAAATCAAGACACTTTGTTGCACTAGTTAAAATAACAATAAATAAATGAAAAATAAAATATCAAAAATTTACAACGTGTTAATCTAAAAATTTTAAAAACCATTGGTCAAATCGTTGTGTTGTTTGAGATTGAATTAAAATAAATTCGACTATTAAACTGATTACAAATATTTTGTTTTGAATTTTAAAAAAGTTAACATATTAATGATTACTATTTATTAATAAAATATAATAAATTAATTAAAAAAAATAGTATAACTTTGTGTCTCATCCAAATATTCCAATCCAATGAACGTGTATAAATAATTTAATTTTGTCAAAAAAATTTGTATTAACTTAATAAAAAATAATTATAATTTCTTTTTCCGATTCCTTGTCTGATGCACTAAAAAGAATTTTAAAAACATAAAATATAAAAATTCTTGATCCACACCTATTTTTTTTATCATACTTTTTTATTATATTTACTATTTTCTCTCCACTTTTTTTCTCTTTTTTTTACCCCAATCCATCAGTAAACGTAGATTATTATCATTATTGACATAAGTCTAAGGAATATAATTTTGTATTTTCATATGCTAATAGCAAAAAATAGTACTTCTTTTTATCAATAATATTATCATTGTTTTACTTCTAAAGAAATATCAAAATTCATTAACAAGTAAATAGCATGAAAACTTGTTCAAATTGCTTTTTGTTTTCATTTTTTTTTCTTTTTAACATAACTTGTTCCTTCTTCCATCTCCATAAAGAGAACTTGGTATTTTTGGTTATGAAGTTTGAGGAGGAAGAAAGAGCCCACGGTGACCGAATCAAAAGACACTGACGACAGTACATGAGAGATGAGACAACGTTTGTTTGTTTACAGAAAATGAATGGCCAGGACGAGGGAGAATACTTCTAACTTTTCTCACTTAAAAGGAAAAAGAAATTCTCTGAGTTAAATACTGTTACTGAAATGATTAACATCAAGTAGTCTGTTTTTACTGTACATACATGGAAACATACCTGTAAGTAATAATCTTATCTTAGAAGATTTTTTGGAATCATTTATCTCCTCTATTTTATTTTCATTCTCTGCATGAAAGGGTACATAAATAAAAGAAAGTGATGTATCAATAGGGTGAGAGAGTTTTAGGTTTAGCCATGTTCAATAACTTCCTAATACTTTTGAAACATGGAGAATAAAATATAAGAGTGAACTGCACCTGATGGAGATGAATACAGTACAAAGCTACATATCTTGAAGAAGTTGACTGATGGAATAGCCTCCTGAACACAGTAGTGCTTGAAAGGCTACTCTCACAATAATATATGCATCTCTACCTCAAAGATATTTAGATGAATCTAAAACATATAAGAAAAATAGGTTAATAATTTAATATTCTATATTTATAATTTAGCTTGTTTCTCCATAGTTTTTATTCGTGAAGATATAAGGACCATTATCTTTATTTTCAAACCAAGATAAAGAGTCTATTAATTTTCTATTTAACAAAAGAAATTAAAACCTACTCATATAGTAAACGTAATATATTAAATTGTGTATAGCATAATAACAAATAAATAACATGATTAGCTTCAATTATGTGTGCATCGTTGAGTATCTATATATTTATTTTTTGACTAACCTATTTTTCGAACAGAAATACAAGTTACTACTACAAAAGTAACAATATTTTACTTTTACCAAAAAGTTGTGTTTTTGCAACCTGAATTAGAATCGCAAAATGCCAATTTCTTTTCCACATAAAATGAAAACTTTTCAACCTCATGTTTTGAGTCACATATCCATAGTGCCATACTTCAATTATCCAATAGGTATGTACAAGAATATGTTATTGTATATTATTATAATTTGTAACATTTTATAATTATTTCTATATTTGGTAAATTTTGTTTTAATTAACTTTACAAATATAAATTTACATTTAAAATTATCAATATTGAAATTAAATAAATTGCTTACCGTTTCATGTATTATTCAACTCTATATATGCATATATGTATATGGTGAAACATACACTGGACTATATGATTTGATTAATTTATTTCCATAAATGGTCATTCATTTTCTGTACAACTTTTGAAAAAAAAAATGGTTGAAAAAATAGGGGCTCCATTGACTTTCTTATTTGGGAGATGGGTATAGATTTTTCAGATTTTCTCTCTGGGTTTGAAAACAAGTTAAGTAGGAGAGATAAAATGTTAATTTTGATGTTTGAGACAATTTTAGTTTCATAAAAATAAAAATAAAAATTACAGCTACGTGGTTAAAGTGTGGGTTTTGTGGAGCTTGTTGGGACAAGGTTGGAACATACAATGTTCAGTTCAAGTTCAAGTAAATCCATCCTTTTCAGGACTTAAGATAATTGTGGAGATAACTTCTCTCTCCTTTTTAGGATTTTATTATTATTGCATAACTTACTTTTATCCCAAAAAGTGAGTTTAAAGTTTTGGATAATAATTACAAACCATTATTACATGATTGAAACTGTTATTTTATTGCCTACATGTTTCATATGTTGCTGCCTGAAAATTTCAGGTTTAGGATGATGCAGAGACTGGTGGAGGAGACAATGACAGAATCGGAAATACCAAGAAATAAAAAGGGCAAGAGGAAGATGGCAAGAAGCTGTGGAAAGAAGAAGGGACCACAAATGTTGGAGTTTCACCCAGCGTCACACATTTTTCTAATCCTCTCAAGTTTCAAACCTAAAAAGTAAAAAAAAAAAAATTCAAAACTAAATATTTTTTAAGGATAAAAAAAAAAAACGTAGCTTTATTTTTAATTTGGACGTTAAAAGTAACGGCTGATAATCGCTTTTGCAATCATTGTAGCACTGCTTAACTTCACCCTTCTCACTCCATATTCATTCATACCACCACCAACAACAACAACAACAACACTTCCCCAACCGGAATCTTCACACTCCTCACCAAATCTCATCAAAACTTCTTTTTGATCGCACCGAAGGTAATATAAACTACCCACTATGCTACCTCCTTCACCACTACACTATATCACAAACCTCTACTTCTTTATTGGTATTATTTTCGTGAGTAGTTTTTTTCTTTTCCCGTATATTCAACGTGGTGTTGTGTTTCTTGTTCTTTGTTAATTTCAGCGTATACACCACTCACTAGGTGGTTCTCTCTTTTAGTTAGTGTTTTCAAAGAAGCTTGGCTGAGTTGTTGGAGGTTGAACTTGGAAGCCTCCACTAGATCCGTTGGAGGTGGAGGGTGGATCAAAGCTAGGGTTTCACTTGTTGTTGTGCTTTTACGTATCCCGTGAGAGCTTGAACTTGTGCTTGGTTTCTGTACTTGCGTAGATTTTACGGGTTGGGTGAGTTATGTGAGTGAGTGCTTCATCTTCCATCTTACCGACACATTGATTGGGAGAGTGTTACACTGTTCGGTTCGGTGGTTGAAATAGTGTCACATGAGAGCAGTTAATAAGGGCAAGTTAGCTTATCTATCTCTCATGCTTCCTTTGTTTTTTGCTCATGGCTAAACAAAGGTACAGAATAGAAGGAGTGAGAGTGTGAAAGAGAAAGAACGCAAGTTGCTTTATTAATTTCACCATCATGAATATTAAATTAATCAACTCTATCGCTTCTCGAAGCACAAGACACTCTATGTTTATCGGGCTTTTTATGAATACTTTCATTTTCATGTCAAATTCTTGTCTATCTGTTTTGTCGTCTGAGCCTAATTTGCTGCTGTCTAAAGTTTGAACCTGTTTTGTCGTCTGTAGTAAAATTCACATTTTCAATTTTTATTATTTTTTCCGTCAAAATTATGTAGACAATGATTATTGTTTATTATTATTATTAAAGTTCTGATGTATGTGTTTATTTGTTTCTTTTATATTTTTTAAAGGGGTGTTTTCTCTCTCCAATGTCTGGAAGAATTTAATTATAGATATATTCACCTGTGAAAGGGTTTCTTTGGTGATCCTTTAGGCTTTGTTTGGAGTTAGAGTGGTGGAATTAGGAGGTTGGAATGAGCAGCTTAAGGCCTGAATTGCATGTTGCCCAACAACTTCGGCGCGACAAATTGAGGATCCAAAACAGTTCCCAACACTTGCAAGAGTTCCCTAGCAACCTAGAACAGTTATCGTTACACCCAGGTTTCAACTTGGATCTTCTTCAAGTGAGAAATGTTCGAAATGGCAACATGCTTGACGAGGCCCTTTATTCATCGGATATGATAACTTTTTCCACTGCTTCGAATCCTTTATCAACTCCCAGAAACCCATTTGAGTGTCAAGAGCTTATGATGGCTCAGTATGGTTCCACTTCGTTTCCTCATTCATCATCCCCTAAAGACCAACAATGTGAACCACGCAACTTGGGTCCTAATTGGATGGTGAATTATAACGAAAGCAACCCCAACAACAGCAACACCTTCTCTTCTGTTCTTAATAGCAATGCTTCTGGCGAAATGGCCAATAGAGAAATTCAGAAGCAGTTAGGTGAAATGCATTACCCTCCTTCCTCGTCTTCCTCACCTCCACTTTACCATAATGCTTTGCAGGACATGGCTTATGGCATTTGGGGAGGTAGCAATGGTGAGCCTGTGCTTCATTATCAAGCAAACAACGAGTTACGTTTTGGGGGTGCTAATTTATGGGCAAATAGTAGCTCAATGGGTTTCAAAAAGATTAATGAACAAGACACAAATCCTCATCAGGGTTTATCACTGTCACTTTCATCAAATTCACAATCCAAGCCTTGTTTTGAAGAAGGGTCTGCATCAGACGACCCTACTCAATATTCAAAGTCTGTGAAATCCTCCATGAAGATGAACGTGCTTTCAAACAACACGGCTTATCGAAATGTTGGCCCCCTCGGTCCCTTCACCGGTTACGCCACAATTTTGAAAAGTTCGAGGTTCTTAAAGCCGTGCCAACAGCTGTTAGATGAGTGGTGCTGTCAATATGGTTCAAAGTCTGCGAAGGGAGGGGGTTGTGACGTTCCAGAGTGGGTCTCTCGAGATGTCAGTGCTGCCTCTACTTCTGCAGCTGCAGCTGCTGGTGATACTCTAAATGTTGATGTAAGTGGGGGTGCTGCAAAAGTTGATCGCAGTTCGGGTGCTTCATCCTCTGTGTTGTATAGTTCAAATGAAAATGCTAATACTAATAGCGCTGATGGCGGAGCCGCGAGTAGCTTTTGTCTTTCTTCTCGGCCAGAGTGCCAAAAGAACAAGGCAAAACTACTGTACATGCAAGAGGAGGTTGGTTTTTTCACTGCTAATGTAGAGTAATAGTAACCCTTCTGGCCTGTTTTTGTGTTTCTTACTTTGTTGTCTTGTGTGTTTTTGGTATGTATGTATGGCTAATGTCTGTCAGAGGCTTTTACTGTTTTGTAACATAAGAAAAAAGGCCAAATGCTTTAAAACTTCCGTGTGCAACATGAGGTCATTTGGTGTCGGTTATTGTGCAAAGCTCATGAAAAGTTAGTTTGCCAAGATATTTACAACTAGGTTTAGGTCTCCAGAATGTGGGGGAAAAATGAAAATGCATATTTGTGTTGGTGTGTCGAATAGGTTAGGTCATTGAACGTGTTTCTAATTTTATAGCTTATGGATTTGTTTATGTAAGAGATTATGTACCACCTGATTTGTGATTTGGTAATGCTGTTACTTTCCTTTCATCAAGGAGGCTTCGTCTGGTCTAATTTTTTTGTGTTGTCCCCATAAAAAGATTTTAAGTTAGCTATAAGGCTCAACACCCATTTGAATTAAGTTTGGCATGTGTTCGTATAGTATTTGTATTTTGATTATTAATTTAGAGCACATTCTTGTAGAATGATATATTGGTCCTTACTTGATCTTCTTACTTTCTACCATTTTTTTCTGCCACAAATTTCCTTGAGGAGTATGTGTCATTTGTAATATGTTATTCTTGCCTCGTTCAATGATTAATTCATGCTCTTCATCGTGATTTTTTTATCTTCTTTGGTACAAGTTTGATCTTGTCATATTATTATTTGTTAATATGGACTCAATTAAAGCATTTTCATGAAAATGTTAAGTAACGACATATAAAAATCTTGTTAAATACCATTTCCAATTAATAACGAATTAAATTGATGAATAGGCTTAATAATTTCTTTTAACATATTAACTAGTGAATTATTTTAATTGGAAATAATTTCAAGAGTTTTTGTTTTGTGCATGTAATTTTCTGAGAAAAAAAAAAAAGGTTAATTCACCTCCCTTGTTTGTAATCCAATGCATGTTTGTAAATGGATCTATATAATCGTATGAACATGATAGGAGTGCACTTGCATATTGAACTTTTTCGGACTTTCTTTCTTTCTTTGTATATTTTTAGAGATTATTAGAGAACATTCAAACCTCTGTTTCTTTGTTGCTAATCCTTCCTTTCTCCTCTACAAAATTATTGCGTTTCATATATATAATAAATGACTGTTGCTTAGTGAATAGTTTCAAATATGTTTTTCGTTTCATACATAGTAAGTAATAATTGTTGCTTACCTGAGAGCTTTGAAACATATTCCTAACTCACGTGCATGCATATGTACACCTGCACACGGCAGTGTACTCACTTAGATGTTGATGTATCCTACAGACAAGCTTTTTTAGTTACTTTTGAAATGAATACTCAATAATTCTATTCACACAAATGAACTGAAACAGGTAGATCATACTGTTTTTTCTTGTACTGCATTTGGAATTCAATGAGGGAATATAGGTTAAATTGCTTTACTTACTGTTGCTTTACAAACTTTGTTGCTCAAAATGTATGAGATTCGCCCCTTGTCCAGAAACTATTTATAAATCCATGTACGAGTCCAATGTCTATGGAAGAACAGTATTGCTAGAAACCCTTTCACCTGTTTGCATCCCACTTTCCGAAAGTACTTTTGTTTCTTCCAAATGTCTGCAAAAAGAGTTTGAAGGATTATTCTACATGTGCTACTGTTCAAATCGGTGGGTTATTAGTGGATAGTTTTTGTCATGTACTTAAAACACACTTTTAACAATTTTCCATGAATAATTGTGGTTGGTAGAACAATAATTAAATATGTTATTATTATTGTACGCCTTTGCTTTACTAACTAGGCTTGCTACAACTCAATAATGATGAAATGTTGTAGGGGATGTGCTTCTGATTCTGGTTAAAATATATGGGAATGCTTTTAAACTTGCTGTTGATTTTTGCTGTTAAAATAATAGGTTACTAGGAGATACAAGCAATACCATCAACAAATGCAAATGGTTGTTCAATCGTTCGAGTCAGTAGCGGGTCTTAGTTCTGCTACCCCTTATGTCTCCTTGGCTCTCAAGTCAGTATCAAAACACTTCAGGTGCTTAAAAAATGCTATTTCAGATCAACTGAAGTTTACATGTGAAGTATTGGGAGAGGACTTTTCCATGCCAACCACAACTAATAGTAGTAAAATTGACAATAATACGGCAAGGCTAAGGTGCATGGACCAAAGTTTTCAAAAAAACAAGACCGTGGGGGCTAACATAAACTTCCTTGAGCCCCAACAACACGTATGGAGGCCCCAGAGAGGCTTACCAGAACGATCAGTGGCAATTCTTAAAGCTTGGCTATTTGAGCATTTTCTTCATCCGTATGTCCTCTCTCTGTGACCTCTCTTTTGTGGATGAAACTTTGAATCTTTTCTGTTTGCCCAAAAGGAGAAAAGGGAGATTGAATTATGGTTTTCTTTTGCTGTTCATTTTCCTTTCAGGTACCCCACGGACACTGATAAACACATGTTGGCTACCCAAACAGGCCTTTCAAGAAACCAGGTAGGGGTCTACTCCTTTTGAATTCATTATTATGCCTGTAGTCCTTCAACTCTATTTGCTTTATTTAATTTCTGTATTTGACATGCTCTTTTGGTGCCTTCTTAGTGGGTCAAACCAGTGGGCCAAATATTTCGTCAATTATTTGCTAACTCAAAATTCCAAGTTCTAATTTATTTAATGAGTTGCTCTTTTTGTTTTTCATTCTCTGGCTTTTAGGCTGACATAGGCTGACACATACGTTTTTATTGATAATTACAAATGTCCATTACTTTTCACTTTGCTTATGGTTAATTAAATTGTGTTTTCACTTATTTACTTCTCAAATTATTAAAAGCATATAGATGTGAAAACAAATTAAAACATGGTCTTTTTTTATAAGACTTCACCTTAGCCTGAGGCCATGTGGTTCGTACAAATAATTATGTAGCCTTTAGTCAAGCTTTTTATTCTAAAAAAGATTGAGTAGGGATTGTCTGATCTTCACCATGTAACAATTTCCACACCTTAGGGATAGTTGTAAAATATGTTTTCTTTTGTTGTCTACTGTTTTGGGTTATCATTTGCAATTTACCCATTTTTAACATAGAAGACAGAAACTTATGCTTCAAAATTTAATGCTTCGAAATGTGTGAATGTCAGTTTGCATTGTTGGGAACTGATATTCAAACATACTTTTTTATAGTCTTCTACATAGTCCATTTAAGGGTGTAATTTGTTAAAAAAAGACACCTTGCCTTATTTGCAACTACTTATGCAACGAAAATAAGGAGGTAAAAGAATTAAATTTTTTTAAGTTAAATAATCTTGGAATAACAATGTAACTGATAACGTAGGTATCAAATTGGTTCATAAATGCTCGTGTGCGTGTTTGGAAGCCAATGGTTGAGGAAATACACATGCTCGAAACAAAGGGTGCAACAGAACCCCACAAAGCTTCTAGTAAAAATGACCAGGTTGCTTCTGCATCCGAAGGTAGCAACCAGCCCAAATCAGATCACCAACATGTGAGCAGGTTTGGCACGCATGCATCATCACATGCAATCCCCGAGAAGCATTTTCAGTGTTTGGAAATGGGGTCAACATCCTCAGCAGGCAACGAGGAACACATTGGAATGGATGAAGACCAATGGAATCAAGAAAAGAGGTCAAAACTGGAATGTCAGATTGCTACCACGCCAAACATGGATGGGACAGTGATGGGGTTTATGCCATACAGAAGAGGTGGACTTGAGGTTGGTGGTCTTGGATCCGTGTCACTCACTTTGGGTCTTAGGCATGATGTTGAAGGTGTACAGCAGCGACAAGAGGAGGAGCTTAGGCGTCAATTCGGAGGGCACATGATCCACGACTTTGTGGGCTAGTTAGATATTTGTCACTAGGGATAGAATAAGAATGGGTCAAGGAAAATGGGGACCCCTTTGTAGCTGAAGTCACGTCCCGTGAATGTGGCAAAAAGAGTTTTGTATACATTTGCTTGGCGAAGAAAGGGAGAGGTGGGGGCTATTGTGTAGTATTTACCTTCCAATTTTGCTTTTGTGTTGGGGAAATTGTGAACTGAAATTGGGTGGCTAACCTTACAACACTGCCAAATCATTTAGCAGCTTCCATGGGAATTTGGAAGCAGTGGTCAATGTGTTAAACTTGCAAAGATAGTGAAAATCAAGTGTAATTTTAAGGTTAAGTATTCCTGCATCAAATGTAACATTTAACTTGATGTGATTGTGGCCGCGTAAAAAATGGAAAAACAACAGCAATATTTATACAAATAAATTCTGCTCCTCTTTCTATGACCATTCCAACCTGTTTTCTCTTATCGTTGTCACCTTTCGTGGACTTCCTATCCAAGTGTAGGAAAATGAAAATTTCAAAGACATCTGTACACATGCAATGAGAACAACGTTAATAACTAGGCAATGAGAACCTTGTTCTGTGATTCGAAACGTAAAACTAAAAGTTGGTCTTGCTGAAATTTGAGTATGATGATATCCTCGATTACTGAAGCAGATTTTGCTGTCAATAATAGTAGACCAAATAGCTTCTACTCTTGATCTTAACCTATCTCTCGAACAGTAACAATATCATTAGTTTGCAAGTCAAATGAAGATCTTTATAACATACAGGTCCATTGTAGCCGAGAGGTCCCTTCCTCCTCCTGCTTGATTTTTATTTGGGGTACAAATTTTTGAGGGTGACTGGATTAAGCATGGATTGGGTTCTGGAATTGGGGGTTCGTAGAAACGCATGAAAGTTTCTGATTCCAATACTGCTTTTCTAAAACCTTATGTAAGTTATTATAATTAGTTGTAGGATCTCACAAAAATGTTCTTGGATAGTGACAACTAACATTTTGGTCAAAAAAATTTTGTTGTGAAGGAATATTTGATGCATATATACACTTGAATTTTATTTTTTCTTTCTTTTCTCTCTTGTACCTTTTACTTTTTTGAGTTGTACCATGACTTTGTAAAGATTGATGCATGTCATAATAATCACTCGCGTCTTCGTTTTAAGATGGTATTAGAGTTATTTTATGCGGAGCCATGTTGTCCGTCTCAATCCTCCTCCTCTATCTTGGTAAATCTAGTTTTTATCATGACTCAAGAAGTTATATAGAATTCCTCCATTTCCTTTGCCTACACCCAGTGAGAATCGTACCGTCACTCTTATTCCCAGGTTTTTTTATCAAACCAATTATCATTATTGGACCTGAGCTATGATTACCCCCTCCAGTGCTAAGAAAAAACTCAAATTAATTGATGGAACAACTAAATAACTTGACAAAATCGATTTTTTCTATCCTTGAAAGCGCTGCAATAACATGTGGATCGTTCACTATTTTAGATTCAATTCCAAAAAGCATTTTATAGATGGTTAAAGTAGAGGAAGTTTGGAATGATATAAATAAAGGTATTTTCAAAGCAGCTTATTAAGAATTTTTTAAGTTTGTTGCAATCGAAATTGCAGCGGAATGATAAATTAAAAATTTTAAAGATTTTAAAATCAGAATTTTGGAGTCCTAACTATATTTTATTTAAGAAAATTATGGAAAGTCATAAAAATAAGATAAGGTCAAAACCAAATTTGAGTTTGAAAGTTAATTATATGTAAGAAAGATATTAGTACCTTATAATCGGATTTGAGTTTAAAAGTTAACTATGTGTAATAAAGATGTTAGCACCTTAAAATTGAATGTCATTGTTAAAATATTTATTTCCCCTGAAATTAGAAAACAAAAAAAGAAAATGAGAAAAATAAAAGTATTGACAAAAATAATTTTTGATTTTTTAGGGTACAATAAAGATATTGACCTTACTCTTATGTATTGTCATTCAAAATGAGAAATCAAGGTTACATAATTCTTTGTATAAAAAAGTTTGTGCATTTGATTAATGTTATGAAAATTTGTGTTTTTGAAAGAATTTTGTATATATTTTTTGTTGGTTTCGAATAAATCTATATTTTTATCATTTTTTCTATTTTTCAAGATACATTATAACTAGTGCAGTCATATCTGTGTTTCAAAAGATTATTTATAAAACGCGAAGATACGACGACATGTACAATCGTACCCGATCCTCAAAATTTATTTAGATAAAAAAGATATGACAACACGAATGACCGTACATATATCTCAAAATTGATTTTGAAAAATAGAGGACATCACGATGCATTTCACCCTATTCGAACCTCAAATTATTTAAAAAAAGGATCGAATGTCCAAATAACCTATATCTGCATAAGATCGACAACAACTAAGTCGAAATGCGTTGGCCAAGAGTCACTAAGTCAGAATGCGTTGGCTGAGAGCTACTAAATCAGAACGCGTTGGTCGAGAACCACTAAGTCAGAACATGTTGACTATTAGTCACTAAGTTAAAAGGCGTTAGCAGGTAGTCACTAAGTTAAAACGTATTCACAAGCAATAAACATGTCAAATTTTGAATGCATAACCATCGAACTTAAATACAATACAACTGGGTCACACCACCCAAACAACAGTTGTAATAATAGAGTCCAATTCATACAGTCAATCAATCAAGACTTAAAACAAAATCAATCAGCAAAGTAAGATACATAATAGAATAAAAATCAAGGAATAGGCTAAGGGAGACGTAAGTGGGAAGGAAAGTGAGGGCTAGGGATGATGTTTTATGCACTACTACAAAATATGCTTTCAACGTCGCTATTTAACGTCGGTTAAAGCTAAGCCGACGTTAAATACACTTTCAACGTCGGTTGGTTAAAAAACGACGTTGAAAGTTGAATGTTGGACACATTTCACGTCGGTTCTAGATGAACCGACGTTGAAAGTCTTTTAATATACACATTCAACGTCGGTTCCCAGATGAACCGAAGTTGAATGTGTTTTCACCCAAAAATTAAAGAATTGTCACTAACAAGATTCGAACACAGTATTTTAGAATTGAAAGTTGATACTCCAACCACTAAACTACTATAATTTTCTCGATAATAACTTACAAATAAATTATATTTATATACAAATAAATATATACGTGTAAATATATATTTATTTATATATATTTTCCGGAAAGTGTTTTTATTTTTTTTAGTCAAAAATTCACTTAAGTTAGAGAATTGTCACCGACAAAATTCAATTTTAGAGTTGAAAATTGATACTTCAATCACTAAACTACTATAATTTTTTTATAATAATTTACAAATAAATTATATTTATATACAAATAAATATATATCCATGTAAATATATAAATATAGAATATATAAATATAAATATATTTATATATTTATATATTGGATGTGAGGGCACGTTCGAGGGTGAAAGTGAGATTGACTCTCGCTTGAGTGAAAATACGTTAAAACTCACGGAAATTCACTCGCTCAAGCCTCGCTTGAGCGAAAATTAGTATTTTTCGCTTGAGCAAATTATGCGTTTTCCAAATTTATTTTATATCATTATATAAATAAATTATAAATATTATATTTTGTCATTAAATTACAAACCCATATAAAGAGACTCGCTCACAAATTTGACATCAAATTTTGAAAACCCACTCGACACACACTTTTACCGTCGAACGTGCCCTCATATCCAACATATAAATATATAATTATATAAATATATCAAAATATATAAATATATTTGTATTTATATATTTATATATTTACACGAATATATATTTATTTGTATATAAATATAATTTATTTGTAAGTTACTATCAAAAAATTCGAGTAGTTTAGTGGTTGAAGTATCGACTTCCAACACTATGGTACTGGGTTCGAATCCTGTCGATGACAAAATTAATTTGGTAATGCTCTAAACTTCAAAAAAATATGATAAATAATAAAAATATAATATAAAAGAGAGGGGGACCTAATAAAAATATAATATAAAAGAGAGGGGGGATTTCTAGATAAATAGAGAGGGGTTGGAAATAAATAAAAATTTCTAGATAAATAGAGAGGGGTCGCCTGATACAACGTCGATTCTGGAACCGCCGTTGAATGCCTTCCAGAACCGACGTGGAAAGTCTTATTTGTAGTAGTGATGACGTGACGAGGATGGTTCACGGTGGTGGTTTGGTGAAAGTGTAGGTGATTTGGCGAGGAGAAATGTAAGGATGAAGGGGAGAGTGAGATGGGTTTGGGAGGTTGAATGGATGGTGCGCGGGTGTAGGGGAGAGGTTGGGAAAAAGGGTGAGGTTTTTTGGTGGGGAGAACGTGACCGCATGTATATGGTGAAGGTGAAATGGGTGATAGTGGAGGCCTAAGGTGGTAGTGTATGGAGTGAAGGATGCCGGGAGTTGGTTAAGCTGAAGGGCTACCACGCGGAGAGTGAAAGGAGAGGATGAGGCCAAAACTTGGTGGGGAAAACCAAGAATGATTCCATTTGGGTCCAGTGCGACTTCCTTCTTCTTTTTTTAAACTCGAAATTAGGTTAAAAAGAATTAGGACATTAATTCAAAATGGGTTCGGCAAAACACTTAGATGTCAACAATGTCTTCCTTCACACATATTTACATGAAGAAGTATAGATGGAAGTTGCTCTTGACACTTTTTACAATGTGTAAAAGGTTTATCATTTTCATAAGTCTTTTTATGGGTTGAAATGATTTAGTAAACAGTAGTATACCAAACTCTTTATCTTCCTTATTTCCAAAAATTATAAATAATCTTCTACAAATCACTCATTATTTTTGAAGATTACACTTTTAAATATCACAATCCTTCTTATTTATGTTGATGATATTGTTGTTACTAGAAATAATGTAGACAAAATGTCAAGCATCATTTCCTAAATGGATAAAGCCTTCGAAAGTAGAAAATTTGGGAGATCTCACTTATTTCCGTGGTCTTGAAGTTCCTAGAAGTTGTATCAATAT